GCTTCTACCGACAACAGACCACACCTGGGTACAAGCCTTATGTGAGGTCAGAGCCTAACAAATTGGGCTGGGAGTGTAACTTAGTTGTTGTACATGCTCCTGGAGTGCCAAGGCCCTAGGTTCTACCTCCAGCATCACACAAATAAAAAGGGAAGAAAGAAATACCATTTGTCACAGCTAACAAGTCTTAAAGTTCTTACAACTTTATTCCACTTATTTCTCTATGTGTGCATGCACACATGTGGGCCAGGAAGCCATAGCCAGCGTGGACAAGTGGACAAGTGGACAAACGGCAGGAGTTGGTTTTGTCCTGAACTACGTGATGACTAAGGATCAAACTCAGGTCATCAGGCTTTGTTGCAAACATTCTATGCATTGAACCATCTTGCTGGCTCCTAAAGTTCTTACAATTTTAAACTTTAATAATTAATTTTAATAACTACTTCAATAATGAATAGTTTTCATAACTTTAAGTAATAATTAAGAGTTGTAATAAATGTAATTAAAGCCTTAATGACAAACTTTAACAACAAATTCAGGCACTGACAAGCTAATGGAGAGTTCCCCAGTAGTCAGAGACGCTGCTTGGTTGACATGGGAGACAGGCCCCGAGCTGATACCAAGCTACATATTTCAATCCAGATATTCTGGTATACATATTTTAAACATTTAAGATCTTACAAGGTGTGAAACTTTACTTAAAAAAATAATGTAGCTGGTTCAGTGATGCTAGAGTAGATCCTGAGGACCCACATGTGGTATAAGGAGAAAAATGACTCAAAACCATGCTCTGATCAGCAGCCCCACCTACTCAGGAGGCTGATATGAATAACTAAACCCTAGGGATGGAGACCAGCCTGGGAGACATAAACCACCGCCCCACTATTTTGGTTGTTAAAGTTAACAGAAATTTATGAACATCACCAGATTCAACCTTTCAAATTTCTCCTAAGTCAAAGATAAATTTTTATAGCTAGATTTGTAGGTGAACATTTTTTAGTAGATTAAAAAAAATGCTCTCAGATATGAGAAGGTAAATTTTTATGTCTGGGGCCTAACATCCAAATGAGCTGTGTGCAGAAAACTTTATTTAACTTTAAAAGAAAAAAATGTAAGGGCTAGAGAGGCCGAGTGTTTAAGAGCACATGCTGTGCCCCCAGAGGACCTAAGTTCAGTCCTTGGATGCATATGAGGGCTCACAGCCACTTATAACTCCAGCACAGAGGGATCTGGTACCTCTAGTCTTCATGAATACCTGCACGCGCATGCACTTCAAACATTGTTTTAGTGACATTTTATCTATTTCTGGAGGATGAGAGGTCGGCATGTGGAGACGGCTCTCTCCTCGGGTCCCGAGGCTCCTGAGGATCAAACTCAGCTCAGCAGTGCACAGCCGCCTTTGCCTGCCTAGCACCTCTGGTCCTTGTGTTTGCCTTCAGACCATTTCCCCACTCAAAGATTACATTATTTACTTCCAAAATCTTAAGTTTGAAGTGTTGCATATGCCTGTAATCCCAAAATCCAGAAGGCTGAGGCATGAGGGTTTTGAATTCTAGTCCAACCTGGGCTACATAGTGAGACCCTACCTCAAAAGAAAATAAAAATCCATGGGTAAAATAGAGTAAATTAAAAGCTGTATTAGAGACTACAGAAGCTTGTCTATTAAAAGCATTGGAACAGAAGGATGATTATTTAACACGAGGGAAAGATGCAAAGGCTGTTGGGCCCAGAGTTCCCCTCAGACATCTGACAGCCTTCGAGCCTGCTTGTAACATCTTATTTCTCTTGGAAGCTCTAAGAACTAGAGGTTCTGAGGAGCACACTGGCCGAAGCAGTTAGTGGGGGTAGGGTGGGACAAATCCAGGGACTTCTGAGAAACTGTCCTTTAATAGTTCTATCCAAGCTCTAATGGCTGGAAGCCATCTGATTTCTCTTCTGAATCCTACCCCATCTCCACCTCCTGCTGCCACAGCCTGCTCATAACACACTAAGGGCAGAGGTTCAGGGCTTCACACAATGGCTCACCATTCAACAAATTCTGCTCTGTCCCCAAACATTCATTCCCCTGCCTCCGTGGGACCTGTTATATTCAGATATGAACTTTCTAGGAACTTGATCATGTTACAGGCCTTTTCCTGAATGACAAGCCTAGTGCTAGTCATGAATAAATGAGTTTTATAGAGGGAATAATACCTATTCATAAAAATAATAGAATAATACCTATTCAAAAAATAGTGACTCCACATCCAGAAATAGGCCAAATGTAGCCTTAGAGACAAGCTGTATCTCTGTTAAATCCACAGGCTGCTCCTCGAGTCTCCTGCTACAGCTTATAGCCTTTTCCTCAGCCATGTTAGTCAAACACAAGTAGATTTCATGCAACAGAGTCAACTGAAAGATATTCCAAAGAACCAAATCCAGGTACCACCCATTCTCCATCTACCCACCTCAGGACTACTCTTCCTCTCCACAATTTGCAAGCCTCCTTACCCTGACCATTTGAGAAGGCCATCAAAAGGCCAGAAGGATGGAAATAGTGTTTACTTTTTTTTTGTTTTTTTGGTTTTTTTTTTTGGACTGTGGGGACATTAGAGATATACTAGTTGGTATATTATTTTGCCACAATTTTCTCTTCTCGAATTCAGTTTCAATGAGTACATGAATCAGCTCCTACTGACCTGAATTATGCTTTACAAATGTGGGCTGAACATTATCTTTCCAAATGAAAGTGCCCAGATTGAAACACCCTGTTGTCCTTCTTGAGAATGGCATAGACGGAGAGGAAAAGGCCATCTTTGTGTAGAACAAATGGACCGAGGGAAATCCGCTTTCCTCTCTGCCCTTCTTTACACAGCCACTGCCAAATGACATGTTTTATCATTTTAAAAATCTGGCTAAGCAGACTGAGCAAAGAGCTCATTCTTCTGGTCTTTACAGTTTTCTCAACCTGCATTAAGGCACACTTAGGTTGGCAGGATGGTGAGGTAAGAACAGTGGGCCCACAGGTGTGGCCCTGGCCCTCCCTCCCCCTGGAGCTGTCAGCATGCAGACTGCTCTAGGCAAGTAGGAGAGGGATCTCAGGTCTTGGAAAGACCGCCACAGTACAAACAAGCTTCCTGAGCTAGGACAAGGAAGGCAAGGAGCAGGCTTATAATTGTGGTGTGTGTGTGTGTGGGGGGGGGGATCAGCTAGAGGCTGGGCAGAGAGGCAGAGGAGGCAGAGGCAGCAGAGGAGGCAGAGGCGGCAGAGGCAGTGGCAGTGGAGTTTAAGGCCAGCCTAGTCTATATATAAAGAGTTCCAGGATAGCCAGAACTATATATTGATACCTTGTCTCAACAAAAACAAAACAAAGCAAAGCAAAGCAAAACAGAAAAACAACTCCCACTAAAAGTTTATTTTTAAGTTATGTATGTATGTGTACTTTTTTGTGGGGCAGGGTGTTAGGGGTGGGTTTCAGGACAGGCTTTCTCTGTGTAGCCCTGGCTGGCTTGGAACTCATTCTATAGACAAGGCTGGCCTAGAACTCACAGAAATCCGCCTGCCTCTGCCTCCCTGGTATTAGAATTAAAGGTGTGTGTTACCACTGCCTGGCAAGGGTTCCTGTACTTCTCTGTGCTTGTGCCCACAAAGTCCAGAAGAGCTGGACTTCGGGCCTCTGAAGCTGGAGCTGCTGGCAGTTGTGAGCCACCTGGTGGGGTGCTGGGGACAGAACTCGGGTCCTCTCCAGGAGCAGCAAGTGCTCTCGACTACTATTTTACATTTTTATTTTGAGACAAGATTTTACCATGTAAACTGGGTTGGAATTCAACCTCTTCCTGCCTCAGTGTTCAGAGTGCTAGGATTTCAGCCTGTTGCCACCATGCCGGCTTACAGGAAAAACAGACAGGCAAAACAACAGCAAAGCCCCAAACACCTCAGGAGAAGACCCACTCAGTATGGCAGCTCTCCCTAAGAATCTGGATGCCCTTCTGCCTTTATATTGGGAACATAACAAATGAGCAGAAGAAAGAATGAAACAGTTAAGAAACAGGTTTGGGGAGACACCTTAGTGGGTAATGTGCTCACCATACAAGGACCAGAGCTTGGTCTCCAGCACCTGTGTAAAAAGCCAGGCATGGTAACATAGGCTTATAATCTCAGTGCTAGGGAGTGGAGACAGGAGGTGCTCTAGGGCTGTGCCCAACCCACCAGTCCCAGGTTCCAGTCAGAGACCCAGTCTCAGGAAAAAAGGTGGATGGCTCCGAGGAACAACACCCAAGGCTGACCTCTGGTGTCCACTCATACAAGCAAGTATATGCACATGCACATACATACGAATACACACATACATAAACACAAAAGGCTGAAGAGACTGAGTCATGAATCATCATTAAAAACACAATAGATACTGTGAATTATAACACTGTGAATTAAAGAGCTGTGGGTGGTATTTAACCAGTTATTTGCTATTATTTTCCAGAGACATTGAGGCCAAATAATACCAAATATGGGAATTTTTCTTTTGCTTTCTTTTTTCTGTTTTTTTGTTTGTTTTTTTGTTTTTTGGTTTTTTTTTTTTGTTGTTGTTTTTTGTTTTGTTTTGTTTTGTTTTTTGAGATAGGGTTTCTCTTTATAGCCCGGGCTGTCCTGGAACTCACTCTGTAGACCAGGCTGGCCTCGAACTCAGAAATCTGCCTGCCTCTGCCTCCCAAGTGCTGGGATTAAAGGCGTGCACCACCACTGCCCGGCTTTTGTTTTTTTTGAGACAGTGTTTCTCTGTGTATCTTGGCTGTCCTGGACTAACTCTGTAGACCAGGCTGGCCTCAAACTCACAGAAATTTGCCTGCCTCTGCCTCCTGAGTGATGGAATTGAAGGCATGTGTCACCACCTCCTGGTTAAATATGGTGCCATGGAACTAGGTGTTTCTAGTTCTTAAGAACCTTAATAAAAAAGTGGAAGCCTACAGCCCAGGAGCTCAGTAACTCAGGAGCCAGACTGTCAGCGGGTGGGTCAGCCTTACTCTGGCAGGCAGGAATTTCACAGTACTTCCAGTAGACACCATCCTCATGTTCGGCCACGTAGCACCAAGGGCTCACGTCTCCATCTGGATTTCTGTTGGGAATAAGGACACATTGATGACACTGCTTGTGTTTCTAGTCACCTAGCCCATTCAGTTTTACAGTGCTGAGTTCCCTGTCATTTCTAATAACTGGTGTACATTTCTTTTTTTTTTTTTTTTTTTTTTTTGGTTTTTCGAGACAGGATTTCTCTGTATAGCCCGGGCTGTCCTGGAACTCACTCTGTAGACCAGGCTGGCCTCGAACTCAGAAATCCGCCTGCCTCTGCCTCCCGAGTGCTGGGATTAAAGGCGTGCGCCACCACCGCCCGGCAACTGGTGTACATTTCAATGTCATCTCTAATCAGAAAGGAAAACAGGAGCTGGCCACAGTGACTCACACCTATAAATCTAGCACTCAAGAAGCTAAGGATAGAGGGTTGCTACAAGCTTTAGGCCAGCTTGGGCTATATAGCAAGACCCTGTCTCAAGCAAGCAAACAAACTAAACAATAAAACTACAGATAGGACAATCCTCTTCAGTTTGCAAAGATATATTTAGGGAATAATGTAATCTCAAAATTTTTTTTTTTGTTATTTGAAACAGCGTTTCTCTGTGTAGTCCTGGCTGTCCTGTAACTCACTATGTAGACCAGGCTGGCCTCTGCCTGCCTCTGTTTCCTGAGTGTAAAGAGAATCTCTAATAAGCATGACCGGTCAATAAAAAAAGGCAATGGCCAATGAGCTGAGGCAGGAAATAGGACATGGGACAGTGGCAGGAAGTAGAGGATTCTGGGAAATAGTGAGAGAAGAAAAGAAGACTCAGGAGAGATTCAAAACAGATGCTGAGAGAGACACTGTGAGAGATGCTGAAGGAGACACAAAGATAGAAGCAGACAGGGAGTGAGGAGAGGTAACTAACCACGTGGAAGACACAGAATAGTTTGAATGGGTTAAATAAGTTACGAGCTAGTCAGGGAATGAGCCAAAACTTATAGCCTAGACATTTATTAATAAATAACTGGTCTTAGAGTCCTCATTCTGGGAGTAGGAGCTGGAAGGAAAATGGATTTAATTTTTATTACACCTGAGTGCCTGTATTAAAGTATGTGCCACCACATCCGGCTTAATCTCAAATCTTAAAAATGTTTATTTCTAGGTGATAAGACTATTGGCATTTTAGTTTTTTTGGGGGGGATTCTTTTATGGTTTTATTTTCTTCCTTTTTTTTTGTTTTTGTTTTTGTTTTTTGTTTTTTTTTTTGAGACAGGGTTTCTCTGTGTAGCCCTGGCTGTCCTGGAACTCACTCTGTAGACCAGGCTGGCCTTGAACTCAGATATCCACCTGCCTCTGCCTCCCAAGTGCTAGGATTAAAGGCGTGCGCCACCACTGCCCAGCTTTCTTCCTCTTTCAATAATGAATATCCCAAGTATAGTTTCCAAACAGTTTCTAAATAAATTCACATAGCACAAACTCAGCTGGCAAGCCTACTCAGACTATGCTGGCTAACTCACATGACAGAAATGGTCCTCATCACCACAGAGGTCCCACAGAGGCTTCTCAGTCAGGACACTAACTTTTAACCATGACAACCATGCTTTTTAAAGAATTACTTCCACATTGCCAAGTGAGAACAGCTTGGAGTAAATGACCTTCAAGGTTGTTCCGGTGCAGAGACATCACAGATAATAAAGAGGGGGCCTGGTGAAGCAGTTCAGCAAATGACAGGGGCTGCTACAGGAGAGAAGCCAGCCTCGCTTCACCCCCTTCCCAAGCCCCCTTTATTTAGACTCAGAATACTGGAAACCTGACACTCCAGTTAGGCAGGAAATGGGCATAAGGACACCCCCCTCCCCAACCCCAGCTTTGCTGCAAGCTCCGGGCCTGAGCAGACAAGCCCATTGTGTGGCCTAAGAGATAAGCTTCTCCAGGCACAAAGGAGCCTTTTCTTTTTTGTGCCCTAAGGCAGGTGCGAGGGACAACTCTGTTCGTCCCTGGCTCTGCCTCTCTGTCTAATCCAGATCCTTTAGGTCCAACCAGGAGAAGCCTGTTCCCATCACTTGATAGCATGTAGACATCTCAGATGTGATGGATTTAAAAAGTTGTACAAGGCAAACATAGTGTCGGATGTCAGCTGAGAAATCAAAGTGGCAGAGCTTGTACAAAGCCCTTCTTTAAACAGTATGTCACCGTCATCTTCCTCCCTCTGTTCTGAGTTCAGCTTTGATGTAGTATTGGATAAAACCCCTAGACAACAAGTGTTTATTATCAATGTCAAAGCCATTCTAAAAGCATCCGAATAGCTTAATAAAGAGCAGGCAAACCTATCCTCACTTCTCTGCAGCACCAGAGCAAAAGGCCTGGACTCTGAGGTGATATCATCAACAGGCTCAGCCTCTCTTGCTTTTGAAGTATAAACTGGCAATTCAGGTCTGGTGCATTCCATCAAATCAGAGAGCTGTAGCCCAAGGAGTTAAAGGGGAAGGTGCTGGGGGAAGATGCTCCCAGCCCCCAGGTACAGCCCTCTGGAATGCTTATGGGTGCACTCCTGCAAGCCTGGGAGTAGAGAAGACATGGGCACTCATTTAGCAAAACCAGTAGACAATACCAAAGACCCTACTCCTTTCTCTAAGTGCCCTTCCTGAGCCAGCCATTCTTATGAACAGAAAAACTAGAGGAGGATAAGATAGCAGAAAAGGAGTGACTGTGTGGATAAGAGTGTGTGCATGTTCATGACTGTGTATGCTTGTGTATGTGCGCATGCTCATATTCTTGTGCGTCCATGTTCCTCTGTACATGCATGTTCATGAGTGTGTGTGCATGCATGTTCATGCGTGTGCTTGTGCTTGAGTGTGCATTTAGAGACTAGAGGTCAAACTCGGGTGTCATTCCTTAGGTGCAATTCATCTTTTTTATTTTGAAACAGGGTCTCTATCACTGGCCTGAAACTTCCCTAGTAGCAGGCCAGATGCCCCAGGGATCTGCCTGTCTCTGCCTCCCCAGTGTGGGGATTGTAAACACACAACCATGCAGAGCTTTTGTTAATGTGGGAATGTAAGGCCCCCAGAGTGGAGAGACCCCCACTCAAACCACAGGAGAGTTTGACCATCCAGAATCATACTTTATTTCCGGATTTCGGGGTATCAGTCGACTAAGGCCGATGCTCACAAGGGGAGCGTCGACCTCAAGGCTCAGGAGCAAGGGGTATTTAAAGGAGAAAACCGCAAACCAGGGGGGTGAAGGGGGAAATCAAAAAGAGGAACAGTAGTTAGTCATAAACCAAGGTGGGGAGTGGGAAACATCTTACACACGTCATAAACCGGGGTGGGGAGTGGGAAACATCCTGTACACATCTTTCTCAGGAATGTGACCTTAACCTAGCCCATTGTGGTCAGTCATTTCCCGGAGTATCTTGACCAACCTGTATTTGTAGTTCTGCTATTCTTTGTCGGAATGACCTGGCTGACTTGCCCCCTGGCTAATTCTTCAGGTGGCCAGCTAGTTCCTGGAACCTAGGCCTGTAAACCTGCCAACCTTAATTCAGATGATGGGGTCTCAAGCTTCTCTATGAATTTTTATATCCTTACAGGAGCTACGGATCAAACTGGGGTCTTTGGATGAGCACTACACTAAGATATCTCCCTAGCATTTTTTAAAATATTCATCTACTTATTTGTATGCACACATGTGTAGGGAGCATGTGCACATAGAGAGCTTGTGGAGTTGACCCTTTCTTTCTGCCATCCGGGCTCAAGTCATTGAACTTAGGTCATCAGGCTTTGCAGCAAGTTTTGCCCACTAAACCATCTCAGCAGCCTACAAGTTTTTATTGATACAAAATATTAATTTGCAAAACTTTGAAACTAGTGAAGAACTGGTTAATGAGCATAAGTAAGCCTAACAATGAACTACAAAGGACACGGGCTAGAGAGATGGCTCAATGGTCAAGACCATGCACTGCTCTTCTGGTAGACCTGGAGTCCAATTCCCAGAATCCCATTGGGTGGCTCACAGCTACCTGTAACTCCAATTATAGGGAATCTGACTCCTCTGGCCTTCTGTGACACCTGTGCTTGTATACAAGCACATAGACACATATACACATAATTTAAAATAATAAAACACATCTTTAAAAAATACAAACGACAGCAGAGTGGAAAGATGGCACATATAATACTTCAGAGGTTTGCCAGGCAGGGTTCTGGTAGCGATGGGCAGCAGGAGGACTATCCAACACTTCAGAAAGCTTCTACTTGGATTTGATTTAGGTTTTTGAGGTGGGGACTTATACAGCCCAATAGACCTCGAACTTACTATGTAGCCAGGGATAACTTTGGACTCCTGATCTTGCCATAAACTCTCAAGTGCTCAGATCACAGAATGCATACAACCATGACTGACTTAGAACAAACTTTTAGTGCTTTTACAACAAGAAACGAAAAACTACAGCAGCAGCAAATATGGGGACAGTCAATCAGTTGATACAAATTAGGATAGCCATAAAGAGCTGAAGGGAAGGACAAACAAACCAACAAACAAACCAATATGATCTACAGGCCTGGTAATGTCAAGACAGCCACAAAGGCCTAGTGTGTGAGCATGGGCATGTGGAAGACAGAAGGTAAACAGAGTGGTCCACACAATGCAGAGATAAATGTGTTGGCTCAGCTGGGTCAACAGTGCCCCATGGTTAGACGTTCATGTACCAACAAACCAGAGTCATAGTGTGGAACTTGGAGGATGGCTCTGGAATCATTTGTCCTTGTCCTAATAGCTCAAGAGGCAGCTGCGTACCTGTCCTAAGAATGATTAAATTCACCACATTGCTGAATCCTGAGTCACATTATCATGATCTTGGGTAAAATTAGCTGAAAAGTATAAACAAAAGTGCTTGGAATTTTTGCTCTGGCTTTTACATACTTGTAATTCTATTTTTATCTTTCTGCCTCTGTGTGTGTGTGTGTGTGTGTGTGTGCCTGCGCACATAAGTATGTGTGTTCAAATGTGTCTATGTATGTGTGAGAGAGTGAGGTTGACTTTGGAGGCTTTCTCCACTGATCTCCACGTTATTCACTGAGATAGTGTCTCTCACTGAACTCAGGCTAGCCAATAGGGCTAGCTAGGTAGCCAGCTCCTGGAACTCCATCCTTGCCTTCTGAGCACTAGCATGACAGGTGGGCTTTCAGGACATCCCAGAATTCACTTGGGTTCTTGGGATGCCAACTGTAAACCACAGGCCATCTCACTGGCTGCCAGTGATTCTCAACTTGTCTTTAATCTCAGAAAACAGAGAACCCAATCAAAGCTGTGGCTCACCTCCCACAGAAAATCATAAATATACATCTGAAGACCACAGAGTTAGGTTAGGGCTTTCTGTTGGAGCCAAACAGTGGCTGTGTCTGTAGTCCAGCTGCTTGATATGCTTAAGAGTAGAGTTGCTTGAATCCAGGAGTTCTGGCCTAGCCTAAGTAACACGGCAGAGGAAGGTTTGGGTTCCAGATGGTCTGACTATCAGCAGCAGCGGCTTTGATGCCCATGTGCCCACTGGTAGGAGGACTGCCTGAGAAAATCATCCCAAAGAGATAAGAGAGTGAGCAGACAAGACACTGCTGTGGATGCCAGCAGAAAGCAAGCTATAGTAGAGAAAAGGGAGAGAGGAAGAGAGAGAGAAAGACACGGATTCACTTTTACTTATTTTTATTTCTGGTGCTGTTTCACTGTATGTTTATCTGTGCACCACCTGCAGTGCCTACAGAGGCCAGAAGCTGTCTGATCCCCCAGAACCAGAGTTACAGACTGTCTCCCATGTGGGTGCTGAGAATCGAACCTGGGTCCTCTGGAAGAGTGCTAAGTGCTCTTAACTGTTTAGCCATCTCTCCAGCTCTGACTAGTTCACCTTAGAAACAATGATATGGTTCTCGGAGTTGTCCAACAGGAGATAAGAAAGCATTCCAGTTGTGAGGAGAGCTGGAAGGAGCTGGAAGAGGAGACTGGAGATATCTTGAAGCACTATGGCCCCATCTTACCTGCAATAGTTGTGCTCACCCAGACCTCCTTCCCCATTGGGGTATTTCAGCGTGTTGTATGGATGCTGGAAAGTCTCGTTCCAGAAGAGACATGGCTTCCCACCTTGCAATGCTGTCCAGCTCTGCGTCCCCCTATAATCTGCACCGTTGGCTGTGAAACATTCTAGAAGAAAGAAAAAACAGCATACTAATTTTCTGGCAACATTTATAGTTTCCTCCCTCTCTGGTGAACGTTTTATTTGTTTTGTTTGGATCAAGCTAGAAATGGATCATGTTTTGCTAGATCTTGGGCGGCCTGCTAGGCTGACTGAATCTACAAAGAGGTCCCCTACAACACTGGCACTGTTGGCACCAGCTTGTTGGGGCCCTGGGAGATTTCCCCTTGAAGTCCACAGGTCCCAGTGAAGATATAAACATGGAGCTGAAATGTGTTAGAGTCCCTGCAGTGAACCAGGAAACTTCCAAATCTAGAATAGTTGCTAGAAGCCATGCACATGGACTTTTGGACCCTCAGAGGGGGCCACTGCTCTCACCAGCGTCTCCCTGTGGTAACTAGAACCAGGTCAGCAGCTGTAACTGAGTGCTCCCCTACAGTCTGAAAGGCTGCGCTGCCACTTGGATTTAATAAGCATCGGACACAGCAATGCTTTGGAATCCCAATCACACAAATCGGGGGATGACTCACATTCCCTGGTAATGAGGAACAGTCCTCCCTGTGCAGTCTGAGGTGCAAGAAAACAGCGGCAATGGAGGACGGGAGTGGCACTTTCTTTCACCTCCTTCTGAAATGCTTTCCTAGAAAATGTGTCAAAGTGGTCTCAGGTCCCCTTTTATGTAATGACAGATCCTTGCAGGTGCAATCATGCACTTCTAAAATCCACTTCTCAGCCTGGGGGTGGGGGTGGGGCCGAGGCCGACGGGCTTCCTCCCACATATTGTATACATTAAACTCACAGAGATTCATGGGAAAGGCAGAGTACAAAGAGCGATTTTTTAAAATTAGCTTAGTTAAAAGTGACAGATAGAAGCACTTCAAACACTTCTTTAAGATGTATCACCAGAACCCTGACAGTCTGGGGGAGTTACACCAACATTCTTAGCTCTCCTCCGTTCTTTCTCCTAGCACACAGTGACCTATAACTTCCGGTAATGAGGACATGATGCAGCCTCCCACTGGAAAGTGCATGGGCCTGCTCTAGACTAATAGGCATGTGGACAACAGGAACACAGCTTTATCCCAAAAGACATCTGACTACTTAGAGAAACCGTCCACAGAGCAGTTTTCTTCCCGTCACGCCTTCCTCCTACCAGCTGGTCTCTGTGTTTTGTCTGGAATGGCACCATTTATGGACAGCTCAACTAATCTACAATTCTAAGACACAGAAAACCATATCAACTTACCATGCCTGGTGCAATATTAAATTATTTAGTGTGAGTCCTTAAGTACCAAGAAGATTTTCTACTAGGGGTCTACATTAACAAAAAGCTCAAAGATAATTGGGCACAGCGACTCAGCATAGAATGGCAGACATCAACTCAAGGCTGAGCGTGGGTCATCGCTTGGATTGCTGCTGACTGGCTCTGCGGTGGTGGACAGGTCAACATCACTCACATCAGTTCAGCTTTGCAATGTTCAAGTGTACGCCATGCTTGCTGATTTAGCACACTCCGCCTTACACAGGAGGCAGCCAGAGCACTCGCCCACATCCCATGGGACTCCAGTGGGAATATCCTTCCTTTCCTTCACCCCACTTCCTGAAAACCTTTTGTCACCTCACCTTTAGCACCTCTGTCTGGGACCACTGATCACGAGGGAGCAGTTTAGGGTTCACTTTCCTCTTCTGCTCCACAGCCCCCTCTCCACACAGAACTCAAAGGTCCCAGGAGAATGAAGGTTTGTCCTATGGGTGTTTGTGAGGCCTCTCTGCTGGAAACCCAGCTCTTCCCTTAGTTACTCACTGTGGTCAAGCCACACTGGTCTGCTTTTAATCCTGAGAACATACTTTTCCATTTCCTGCCCAAATGTTCTTCCTCTAATATTTCCAGTTGCAAGATAAACATTGCCCCTCAGAATTCCCTTCCCATCTCTGCCTACCTCTGCCTCCTTCGTCTGTCCACAGTACTATCACGAGGGATATACATACACAGCCCTAAATCCAGGCTGCACACACTGCACACAGGTTCAACCAACCGCACACACACACTGACATCTTCCTAGCTAGACATCACCCCCTGAGCGGTGTGAGCTGACAGCTATTCACACAGCACTGTAACGGTTTGGGTGTTCTAAATGATCTCAGGATTACTAAAGGCATATGAAGGTTGTACAAATGACAAGCAAACAAGTACCTGCACTGTGGGTCCTCAGAGGCCAGGGCAAATACTGCATGGATTCCAAGGGACAGCCATATTTGAGAGGGCGGGTAGGGGAAGGATAATGTTTGTGGTGTATTCCACCCACACCAGAGCCCTATTCCAACCTAAGTAATTCTGTCGCCTAACCAGTTTTGGAATCAGAGGACTAGACAATTCTATGACTATCACACCAACCTCTATCAACTGCTACTATTTTAATTGCTATGTTAAAATATTTTTGTCCTATCCAATCTTATACACCAAAACATTATATTGCAGAGCTGGGCATGATGGTGTACACTTTTAATCCTAGTACTTCTCAGGGAGTGGGAGGTAGAAGAGTTTAAAGCTAGCTTTCAAACTTGAACTTCTCAGAGTTTGAACTAGAGCATTCCAGGTTAGCCAGCGCTATATAGTGAAAACCTGTCTCAAAACAACAATAACAACAACAAAACCCACATTATGTTGCCTACCTTAAATATAGACAATAAGAAATACATCTTAAAAAGAATGAGGGGGCACTGGAGAGATGGCTAAGCTGTTAAGAATATTTGCTACTTTTCCGGAGGACCTGAGGTTGGCTTCTAGTATCTAAATTGGGCAGCTCACGACTGCCTGTAATTCCTGCACCAGAAGACCCAATGCCCTTTTTGGCCTCTCCAGCACACATTTAGCATATAATATTTATGACAAACATATAAACACAAATAAAAAGAAAAAAAATCTAAAAACAAAACCCAAAAACCCAACAAGACCAACCAAGAAAAAAAAATCCTCAAAACCAAATCAAATCAAACCAAAATGACAACGACAAAAACCAAGTAGCAAGAAAGCAGGGCATGGTGGCACTCACCTGTGGTCTCAGCACTTGGGAGATGGAAGGCAGGGGAGTCAGACAGAACAATGACCCTCCTTGGGTCTAGGTCATTCTTGGCTACAAAGTCAGTTAAAGTCTGGCCTGGGTTGTGTGAGACCCTGTCTTAAACAAGAAAGCAAGCAAATGAAAAAGGCCAGTGACTCACAGCCATCAAAACAGGCTTTCACAACCAACAGCCTCGGCAATACACAGTACCCTATGGGTCGAGTTCCCAAAGATTTGGATGATTTTATTTCTAACACAAAAGGGTGTGCCACAGAAGGGATTGAGATGTCACTTAACAGCAGAAATGAGACTGGGAAGCCTTTTCTAGCTCAGTTTGTTTTTCTCAGATCTACTCTTTCTAAAATTTTTTTGAGACAGGATCTCTTATAGCTCAGGCTGGCCTAGAGCTATTATGCAGCCAAGACTGGCCTCAAACTCCTGATCTTCCTGCCCCTACCTCTTTATATATACATATAAAATATATTTATTTTTTTCAAATTGTAATTTATACTTATCCACACAGGGGTTATAAACACAGAAAGACAGGATGTGGGGAAGGGGATGACATTGGAGTGCGGGTGTTCAGGGGGAATACAGATATCTTTCAGAACAGGGTATCAGCTAGGTTAGGGTTTAGGGGACAGGTTGCTATGGCTCTGCCTATGATTCGCTTGTCCTTATCTAAGTTGGTATTATCTGCCAAGGCTACCTATTTACAAGGTCTATGACTACTCAGGCTGGTAAACTGTCACAAAAGCTGCCTATTTACATTAGCTTATAGCCATCTGTTTCAGTGTTTATCCACAGTGACCCAATACTTGGTGTTAGTATACATGTATGACAGGCCTATTGTTGATTTTAGGCCTCTGGCTGGTTTTAGGCCTTCAGTGTGCAAGCAGGGCTGCCCCTGACATCTCCTCCCTTCTCTAAGTATAGACGCTGCCCCTACCTCTTAAGCACTAAAACCACAAGTGTGGTAGTCCACTCAGGAGGGTTCTTGGATCTGTTCTATATAAGCATACTAGATTTTTAATGATTTTTTTAAAACTAAGCTTGCCCAGTGTGTACCAGTGGTGAGGAAAAGACAGGAAACACAGAGTGTTGCAGACTGAAAGTTATCTGTGCATCTTGACATTATCAGGGTGTGGACGAGGTCATGAGGACCCTGCCTCCCTTTCTACTATGAAATTCACATAAGCTTTGTCTAGATAAACAAGGAGATGCTCAAACAACAAAGAAAACCACTTGCTGCCTTGTGTGTTCACATTTTCAGTAAAAGGGAATGAGTAAAGGCAAGAGACCTAATGTCTACACCACCATTCATGAATTAACTCAACATTTATTTGATCCTTACCACTGCCCAGAGCTGCGGCAAATAAACAGTGGATTCTTGGTGTTCCCATGTTAACAGGGAGCATACTAGGAAATAGAGGGGCCAGGCAGGGCTGCTCCTCCCTGATGAGCAGGTGAGTGTGCAGGAAAGAGCCTGCGAGGCCAGGATAGGCAGGGCCTTGAGGGTTACACAGCACAGGCCCACACTCGGGTGCATACACACAAAGAAAGGGAGAAAGAGACGAGGAGGAGACACGGAGCCCACTGTTCTCTGGTTGAAATCCAGCTGTCAGTGTGGTAACACATACCTTAACTTATTATGCCACTTAAGTTACATAATTCAATAACTACACTTATGAAGAAAATACAAATTGACACATGTACTGTGTTTTAAATTTCATGTATAAGCCAAGTGTGATGGCACACATCTTTAATTTCAGTGTTTAGGAGGCAGAGGCAGGCAGATCTCTGAGCTCGAGACCAGCCTGGTCTAGAGCTTTTTCATAGAGAGACTCTGTGTAAAATAAAAAAGAATAGAGGAAGAAAAAGAAAGCAGAATAAAATAATACTTAATGTTTCTTTGGGACAGGATCTCTTGTAGTATAGGATAGCCT